AGGTCCCAAATCCCTATTCCATCCTAACAGCCCACCTGCCCTGTCCCCAGGAGAGAGTGATTGAGATAACAGGTGTTGAGAAGAGCAGAACAGGAATGGGAAACCTCTCATTTCCTAGGTCTTCCAAAGAAAACTGGATCACTGCCAAAGAGTTTCTCAATACTATGAACCAGCTCATGAAAATTTATAATCTGAAAAGCCATACTCAGATTTACTATAAATCACACACTTTCTGATCTTACTACCTTTATGTTCCAATTTTATGTTCATTTTGGATTTTTCTTCAGACAGGATTTTACTATGTAGCCCAGACTGGCCTCAGCCTCCCATGTGCTGGGGTAATGTGTACCTCCAAGCTGGATCCAACACTTGTTTTAATTTTATGAATGAATATGGGTGTTTTGCTTGCCTGTATGTCTGGGTATTGTATGCATTCAGCGCCTGAGAATGCCAGAAAAGGGTATCAAATATCCTGGGAACTGGGAGTTACAGGTAACATTGTGTGAGCCACCATATGGGATCAAACCCAGGTCCTCTGCAACAGCAAGAAATACACACAGAGCCATCTCTCCAACCCCCCAACACTAGTTCTTAATCCAGCCTGTCCCAACAGGATACTCACACAAGGCATTTTAGGAGATCACTCCACAGACAGAAAAACTGCAGTCCAAGCACATGCAAGTCTTAGAAATGAATAGTGCCTTGCTGAAGTGGCACTAAGAGACAAATGACACTAATCCAACATCCCATGGCCAGCAAATTCCAATGCAGACGCATGTGTAGCTACAACAGTGACTCTTCTTGTGTACCAGTTGATTGCAATGCACTAGCCTAATTACAAATTCAAAAGCAAGCTCTCTGTACTTTGGTCAATTATCAGTGAGACGTGTGCCCCAGCTATATCTAGTGTACGTTGAAAACTTGACACATTGCTCAGAAGTACTTACAACACAGCTGTAATCTGCAAAACTAAATATGACTGGGATGTACCTCATCCTAAGTAGAAAAGACAGCTGTTTGCCATTCTTGACAATCTTGCCTGCATGAATGAGGCAGTCAAATTATGGCCTACCTTTCTCCTTTCAATTTTTTCCTGTGTGCACCACTGTCCAAAACATTCTACTCCCAAATAACATCAACTGAAATATCTCATTTTAATGTTAGCCCCAGAGAAGAATCCAGAATCCAGTCTGTCCACTGACTTTCTATACTGAGTTCCCAACAAGGTGAACTGAAAGGACAAGAGAGTGTGGCTCAAAACATAGCAATATGCTTTCAGAACACTACCAGCTCCTGGACTTCTCATAGCATCAGTCTCAAGATTGACTGAAATGTTATTGTTAATGCCAAAAAAAAAAAAAATCTCCAAATATCAAGACCACTTCAAAACTGTTATTTATTCCAGTTGCATAGCCCTGTAGGATTGGGATTCTAATCTCATAGTAGAGGTAGCTCAGGAGATTGAAGGAGGAGTTTGTTCAACAAGTCAAGTCGGAAACTACCACTGCTGCATAATGAGTTCCACAGGATTATAGGCTACATAATGAAACACTGTATCAAAAAAGAAAAAATTCACCACAGGCTTTTAATCCCAGCACTCTGGAGGTAGAAGAAGGTGTATCTCTTAGTGAGGCCAGCCTGGTCTACAGTGAGTTCCAGGACAGGCTCCAAAACAATAGAGAGAAACCCTGTCTCGAAGAAAAGGAAAGAAAAAAATATCCTTTTAAGAATTATCCTAACAGGGCAGTAGTGATATACCCCTTTAATCCCAGCACTCGTGAGGCAGAGACAGAGACAGGAGTTCAAGTCCAGCCAGGTCTTGAAAGGGAGTTCCAGGGCAGTTTACAAAGCTAGAGAGAAATCCTGTCTTTAAAAAAAAAAAAAAAAAAAAAAAAAAAAGCCGGGAGGTGGTGGTGCATGCCTTTCATCCCAGCACTCGGCAGGCTGTGAGATCAGCCTGGTATCAAGCTAGTTCCAGGACAGCCTCCAAAACCAGAGGAACCCTGTCTCGAAAAATAAAAAAGATTTAACCTAATCCAGCTATGAGTTACAAAAGCACTTCCAGGACAGTTTAACACTGACATGTGCTATCTACATCCAAGAAATTCCAGCATGAAAAGAATTGAAGGTCTGTGCAAAGAACAGAAAGGAACAGCTCGTGGACTCAACATTAACTTTTTTTCTTAAGTACAAGGAATGTTGGTAGCTTCAAAGTAAACCACCTCAGCTCACTAAGCCAGTTCTGACAGCACACATGCCAGACTCACTTCCAACCTCAGGTTCAAGTTCCTCCTCTGAACTGGTTCAGCTGGTGGACAGGAACCCACCCCTACACACAATGTTTCCAAGTTCTTCACTGTTGTCCTTCAATCCACAGGACAAGGTTGGAACACAGTTCAAAAAATGGAAGCAGCTACAATCTATATGAAAGTTAGCCTATAACCTCAACAAGTCCACTGAAAACTGACCTTTAACTGAACCTATGGAAGCTACTTCAACAAAAAACTAGAGTATTAGAATATGGAGGCTCCCTGCTAAAATCCCAGTCCTTGAGAGACTGAAGCAGGAAAAGTCTAAAGCTAACCTTGACTACAGTAACCCTGTCCCTAAAAACATCTAACCAAAAAACACAGCTTGCATATCATGGAGGCCAGCACATGATAAAATGCCAGTATTTCATGAATGAACTATTTAATTGTTAATACTCAGAACAAAACAGATCCAATAGTGAAATTGTTTCTCTCTCTCTCTCTCTCTCTCTTTTTTTTTTTTTTTTTTTTTTTTTTTTTTTTTGACAAGGACTCATAGCCCAGCTGGCCTGAAACTTGCTGTGTAACCTGAAGTTGACCTTGGACTCCTGATCCTCCTGCCTCCACCTCTCCCATCCTGGGGTTACAGATATGCTCAACCTTACACAACTATTCCACTATTATTTCAAAACTAAAACAGGACAAACTATTACCTTTTTTTTCTTTCTGCCACTAGACAACCTAAGGTACTGCTAACATTTATGTTTAGCTAGATCTCCCTGCCAGTCTGAGTCCTGAAGATGGGCATACACTGTTGTGCTGCAAAATAAAGGCCAGGACAACGAAGCTAAGTCAAGTTGCAAGCTTACAAAGCATCACTAGCACTTCCATCAACTTGACACTGACACTGATGATTGAGAAAGTGAGTTATGTTTAAGCATGCTTTGTTCATCTCAAAATCACAACCATTACACTACAGCTCAGTTCAGAATAAACCCTATAAGACAACTAGTATTTTGTTCTGTTTGTTTTGAGCTCTGGCACCCTGGTGTTCACCATATAGACCAGGCTGAACTCACAGAGCTCTGCTTGACTCTGCCTCCTAAGTGCTGAGACTAAAGGCATATTTGAGTTGAGTACAAGGCTGCAATCTCCTAAAACCTCTACAGAGGGGCTGGACAAATGACTCTAGGATTCAAAGCAGTTGCTGTAGCCATGAACTCAGGTTTTATTCCCAGCACGCAGAGGTTAACAACCATTCTTATTCCAGTTCCAAGGGATCCAAAGCCCTCTTCTCACTACAGTAGGCACCAGGAAGACACATATGCAAGCAAAGCATTCATTCACAGAAGAAAAAAAAAAAAAAAAAAAAACGGGGAGTGTCGGAATACAAGCAGGTGTTGACTGTGAATGCCCCAAACCCCCAGCACCTTGGAAGCAGAGACAGGCAATGAATTACAAGCTGTTTAGTGAGGATCTGTTTACAACTTAAAAACTCATAAAAATTCTAAATGACATATTTGTCAAAAATATTATTCATCAATTATTGTGAACTCCCTTCCTATTCAAAGAACTACACCAAATACAAAGGCAAATTTACAAAAGGAGAGAAAAGTCAAACAGGCAAAATTCTGATTTGATCTAAAAACACCACATATTTAATAGGCAGTTCCTCCTAAGATGTAAACTTTCATTGAAAAAGGTTGCTAACCGGGCGGTGGTGGTGCACACCTTTTAATCCCAGCACTTGGGTGCAGAGGCAGGCTGATCTCGTGAGTTCAAGGCCAGTCTGGCCTACAGAGTTTCAAGATAGGCTTCAAAGCTACAGAGAAACCCTTTCTTGGGGAGAAGCGGGGTGGGGGGTGGGGGTTGTTCGAGGTTTAACTACCACATCATACCTTCGTTGAAGCTATTATTAAAATAACCTTCCAAAAGCACGTGGTGGCTAGTGTCTGCAACCCAACCCCACCAGAATGAGGCTGAAAAATCTCAAGAGACCAGTCTGGACTACAGAGAGAACCCTGCCCCCCAAAAGAAAATCGTTTTCCAAAAGTGGTGTAACCAGATCGACCCATCCACTAACCTTGCAAAGGTTGAAGTTTTATCCCTCCCCAACATTTCCCCAAGAGTCTGGCAGAAAAATCACTCAGGTGAGTATTAAAAGGAGACAATGTCTAGTCTAGGTCTGAGACCTCAACAAACGCCAGGCCCAAAGCAGCCCTGAGAAGCGGCACCACGTGCTGACTTCTCATCTCTCCCAAGTGCGTCTTATCCGGGGGTCTGAGGGAGCAGCTCCCGCAGACACAGCAAGGCGCAGCAGCCCGGCCCCGGGGGCCGGGCTCCGTGCAAAAGGTGTCAGTTTGGACGAGACAGAGCGTGCCACCCCAGTGGTTCCAGTTTCCTTTACAACACTATCCTGGAGGCGAGGGCCGGGTCCCTGCGGCGCCGTAGAGCACAGAGCACCAGCCACCTGAGCCGCTGGGCCAGAGAGTCGCCCGGGACTCGTCGGCTGCCGGCGAAGCACGCGGAGGCTTTCCCCGCGGCCTCGGCGCTCTCGAGGCTGCTCGGGCGCTCTCGGGGCAGTTCGGGCGGCCTCGGACGCCGGGGCGCGCGGCGATAAGGGGCGCGGCGCGGGCCTAGGCCGGCAGCGTGCCGGCGCCTCCCCCACTGCCGGCCCGCCGCGCACTCGCGCTCGCCGCCCCGAGGCCTCCCGAGGCCCAGACCTCCCGCCCTGGACGCAGCCCGCGCTACCTGCGGATTGTGGCGGGCCATGGCGGCCCGTCTCAATGAGGCTCGGCACTGCCCCGGCTCCTCACGCCGCGTCTCCCGTCGCCGCCATCTTCTAGCCGCACAGACACACTCGCATCGGCCGCCGCGCCTGCGCACTGACCCTGCCGCGGGAGCGCGGGCGTATTTATGCGCCTGCGCGCGACAGGTGGGCGTGCGCCCCGGCCGGCGACCCTCCCGCCCGTGGCGCGTGGAAGGCGGCCGCTCCCGGTGAGGGCGTGCTGATAGAGGTGGCCACGCACCCCCAGGCTGCAACGTGGAGTCCCGGCGTCAGCTACGCAGCGGCTGCCTAAGGTCGGCCCTGAGAATCTCCACTGGAGATCCCCACGGATCCTTTACCCTTATGGAGCGCGCTCTTCTGACGTTCATTCATTGGTTTCTTCACTCTTCATTCCTTCCACTAGCTTTGTCTGACATTGGGGGGAAAAAAGTGTTTTTGTTTGTAAAGCATAGGAATAAACGTTAAAGGAGACACTGAGATGACTCAGCGGGTAATGGAGCCTGCCTCCTTTACCCTTGACGACAGCGTTCCATCCTTGGGATCCACATGGCAGAAAGGGAAAACGAACTCCGTAGAGTTGTCCTTTCTCATAGACTGGGGCTCACAAAAAATAGAGTAGTTAATTCACTTAAAAGCGATCTCGTTGATCCGGGATTGTTCTCCTGTGATATCAGTACATAGGCGACAAAAGCAGATCATCCATGAATTGCAGACCAGTCTACACACCAAGTTCCAGGCCACACTAAGCTATGTAAGGTGACTCTGTCTCAAAAAAAAAAAAAAAAAAAAAAAAAAAAAAAATCCTGTTGAGGTCTTAGCAACACTCTGCAGTCTGCAGTAGATGTTACCTGTAGCACAGACATGTGGCTGCATATACACAGGACGGCTGTTGACTCACCATGTACTCATGAAACCCTTACTGAGCCCCTTACTTAACTGCACACTCCCAGCTCATGGATCTACTGTCCCCATTCTGTGTGGCTTCAGTCAAGTTACTGCCCTTCTCCTCAGTTTCCCCATCTGTGACTGAATGAAAAAACATAACTCAAGGTCTTATATCTTATTTTGTCCAGCTCAAGCCACTCTTCTACTGTACTTAATGTGTTTCATGGGATCTCATTTCTCCCACTCAACTTCAAAGATTAAGAATGTTCGTCCATAGACTATGGCATCTCATTTCTGAAAAACCAGGCTCACTGTTTTATGAACTGTGGGAACATGTCTGACTACTAATTTTGCCCTGCTTAACACAGTGCCTGACAATAGTAGGCTCTCTATACTATACTTGTTGGACAAGTGAAATCAGCCATGACAATTATTAAAAATCATCACAGCACCTGGTTTTTCCCTAGAGTTGTCTTGACAGTGTGTTCCCATAGGGTGTTCTCAAGAGGGGTTGGAGGCATAGTTCAGTAGGAGTGCTAGATTCTGATGCCCACACACATTAATAAAAAAAAATTATATTTGCTGAACAAGTTTGTGCTTTCCTATAGTCCTAGTACTCAAGACTGAAGAAGCTGAGGCAGGAGGAGTACAGAATAATATGTCTCATCCCAGCCTAGGGTAAAGATAAGACCCTTTGAGGTTGGGAATGTAGCTCAGGGGACAGACTACTTGCCTAGGGTCCCATCCCAAGCAACAAATGGCCAGGATGTATTGGCACACTTTGCAGTCCCAGAACTGAAGAGGTAGAGGCAGGAAGATCTCCCTCAGCAACATAGCAAGTTTGAGGACATCCTAGGCTACCTAAGACCCTGTCTCAAAAACAAACAAATCATAATGTCATGGATATGACTCATCAGGTTGCCTCACTTGTTGCAAGCCTGACAACCTGACTTCCATTCCTGGGACCTTCATGACAGGAGAGAACATACTTCACAAAAGTTGTCCTCTGACTTCCATACCCACACAGGCACAATATAAAATAAACATGTTTTATTTATCATATGTTATGTGTATAGGTGTTTTGTTTGCAGTATATGTATTCAGTGTCTGAAGAATCCAGAAGACATCAGATCCTCTGGAACTGTAATTATAGACAGTTGTGAACTACCATGTGACTGAACCAGGGTCCCATGGAAGAACAATGAGTGCTCTTAAATACTGGGCCATCTTTTACCCCCAAAATAAACATTTTTAAAATAAATAAATGAGCTAAAAAAAAACCAATATCACACACACACACACACACACACACACACACACACACACACACAGGACCTGGACAGATGGCTCAGCAAGTAACAAAATGTACTACTACTCTTGGTGAGGACCCAGATTCAGTTCCCAGAACCCCCATGGGCAGCTCCTGTAACTCTAGTTTCAGCTGACCTAGCAATCTTCTGGTCTCCTTGGGCACCTATACTCACATTCACACACCAATACAGATATACACATAATTGAAAATAAAACAATAAAATTCAAAAGTAAAACACATAACAATCAATAGAATACATCAACCTCGACAGGGTGGTGGTGTGTTTTGAGTTAGCTTTCCTTCTTTTTCTCAGAAGTGATCCTGCTGTGCTGTCCAGGATGCTATCAAACTCCAAAGTTGAAGTGATTACCCTACCTATATAATGCTAGAATTATAAGCCTGCACATCTGACCGCCTGCACGTCTGACCCAGTTTACTTTACTGTTTCTTTTCTGACAACTGGAAACATTCAGGTACAGGTCCCTATAGATGGTTGGTGTCTTGCTAATTTTAGGATGCAGAACTGGTACTGTGTGGTCAGCCCAGAACTCCTGAGATTGAGGCACGAAGATCATGAGTTAAAGGGCACCCTGAACCACAGAGCCAGATCCAAGAAGGAAGAGGAGAAGGAGGAGGGGAAGGAGAAAAAGCAGGAGATGTGGTAGTGTACATCTTTTTCTCAGCACACCAGAGACAGAGGCAGGCAGAGTTCTGTGAGTTTGAGGCCAGCCTGAGTTTACTATGGAAATTCCAGGCCAGCCAGTGCTTTATGGAGCATGGTGAGAACCTGTCTCAAAATGAATAAATGTACAGAGAAGATTGTGCTCATTACTCTGTTGTTGGAAGATACATTCTGAAAATTTTCAGAGTAACTTACCAGAGTCTGTCAAGAGTTTTCAGTGGTTCAGCAAAAAGTAAAAACTAGGGGCTGGAGAGATGGCTCAGAGGTTAAGAGCACTGGCTGCTCTTCCAGAGGTCCTGAGTTCAATTCCCAGCAACCACATGGTGGCTTACAACCATGTATGATGAGACCTGGTTCCCTCTTCTGGCATTCAGATAAACATTCAGGCAGACCACTGTATACACAATAAATAGATATCTTTTAAAAAAGTGAAAAAGTAAAAACTAGTCACAAGCAAACAGGGAATTAAAATGTAACAAAATGTTAACAATTATGGGATCTAAGTGGTACTATATTTCAAATTTTCTGTCCAAAACATTTTGTAACACCAACAACAACAACCATTATGTTACTATGGCTATGACATTGTTATTGTGTGTCATTGTATCTATGCTATTATGATGACAGCAAAACTAGGTCCATACCTGGGTAGATATTTAAATACACAGGAAAACCTAGAGTCAGCTACTGGAGACACATCTTAGTGGTTCTGTTCCCAGAACTCACATGGTGGTTCACAACCATATGTAATTCCAATTTCAGGGGATCTGACACCCTCTTCTTGCCTTTGAGTGAACATGCACTCACATGCAGGTTCTTTCACAGACATACATACACATAAGTAAAATAGTCTTTAAAAAAAAAAAAAAAAAAAAAAAAAAAAAAAACAAAGCCAGGCAGTGGTGGCCGGCACCTTTAGTCCCAGCATTCAGGAGGCAGAGGCAGGAGGATCTCTGTGAGTTCAAGACCAGCCAGGTCTACAAGAGCTAGTTCCAGGACAGCCTCCAAAGCCACAGAGGAACCCTGTCTCAAAAAACAAAAAAACAAAAAAAACCCGCACTGCCAATTCACACAGTAGCATCTGTTTGATTTTGAATCAACATTGCATGAATACAAAATGAAAATGATAGTAAGCAACATCCAAATGTAATCTTCCTTCTTTCCTTCCTTTCTTTCTTTCTTCCTTAAACATGGTCTGTCTACATAACCTTGGCTATCCTAGAACTCACTATGTTATGTAGACCAAGTCTCACAGAGATCCTTCTGCCTCTGCCTGAGTGTTTTTGCTAGAATCAAAGGTGTGAGCCAGGGAAGCTGGAGATATAGTTCAGTGGCTAAAAGTACTGGCTGCTCTTCCAGAGGACCTAGGTTGGATTCCCAGCACCTCTATGTCATCTTATAACTGTCTGTAATTCCAGTTCCAGGAATCTAATGTCACCTTCTGACCTCTGTGGGCATCAGGTACAGAAGTGCATAGACATACATGCAGGCAAAACACAAACATGAAAAAATCATATTAATTTCTCAAAAGGACATGAGGGAGATACCACACCTGGCTAGATTTAATTTTCTTTTTTTTGGGGGGGGGCGAGCAGCATTTCTCTGTGTAGCTCTGGCTGTCTTAGAACAACCTCTATAGACCAGGCTGGCCTCAAACTCACAGAGACCCACCTCCCTTTGCTGGGATTAAAGGTTTGAGCCACCACTGCCCAGACAGATTTAATTTTCAAATAATTCTCAGAGATGTTAACACAAAACTTCAAAACAAATAGATAAATATTTAAAAAAATTGTGTGGGAGCTGAAGCGATGGCTCTGTTCTTCCAGAGAAGTGGGTTTAGTTTCTAGCATGTTCATGATAGCTCATATCTCTGTGACTCCATTGTTGGAAGATCCCAGGGAATCTAATACTCTCTCTCAGCAGACACTGAGCACACATGGTACACATACAATAAGGCAAAACACCAATACATGTAAAGCAATTTCTTTCTTTCTTTTTTCTTTTTTGTTATGGGCTTTTTGTTTTATTTCGTTTTGGGGATGTTTTGTTTTGTTTTTGAGACTGCTTCTGCCTCCCAAGTGCTAGAACTAAAGGTGTGCACCACCACCCAGCATAAAAATTTTTTTGAGAAAGACAGAAATCATGCCCCATCTTTGTCATAGTAGCCTGAGGAGTCTGCTCTAACCTGCTCCAGTTGGGTAAAACCTCCCAAGAAGATTACACTGAACTTCAGGAAAGAACTTTAAGTGTGAGGCAAAGTTGGCAAATTTATTAAGCAGAGGAGTGGGATAGTACACAGGTCAGACTGAGTTTAGGATTTAGAGAGAGAAGGAGGGAAAAATGGTGTATAGGTATGGACACAGCTGTTCCAGTGAGTTTTGCTTAGGTA